TTAAGCTTAATTTTAAGCTTTAAGCTTTCTAAGCTTAATTTGACTTCTCTCAAATAGGTTCACTTTGAGAATCAATTTCTCATTCACCTATTACCCATTTTGAGCGTACATTATATCAAATTCTTCGTCTCACTACGAAGAACCCGAATCCACCTTGACCCGACCCAAATCAGAAGTGGATCCCACATATATTTGTACCACAAAATAATCACTCAAAATATCATTTTAATGCTATTTTATCCAACATTTTTTTTAACGTAAAGGCGTAAATCATGTGTATGTGTCTTGTGTTATGTGTTTTTGTGTCTCATGTTAATGCAATCATGTTAGGAATATAGCAGAATAATGCGGAAGCGAATAATCGAAAATTGAGAATTATAGAAATTAAATAATAGGAAAATATATAAATGACATCAATAATAAGTAACAATGGAAAATATAAAATATATCATATATATATATATATATATATATATATATATATATATATATATATATATATTAATCTCTCAAAAGAGAATATAAAGGAATATATATATGTATATATATAAATCTACGTGAGGGAGAAAGAAAGTATGTAAGAGAATGAATTCACAATTGATATTGATGCCTTATTACAAACAAAGCAAAAGCTATTTATAGCCTAAGAAAAGAGAGAAAAACGGCATATGCATTGAGGACGTGTGGAGAGGATTGAGGACAAGCGCATGCAGATTGTGCAACATGGAGAGTGGACATAAATGTGTGGTCTTGAATATTTCCAAAGAATTTGAGCCACAATTCTAACAATCTCCACCTTGGATCAAATTTATTGTAGATTTAACAACTGGAACAGCCGACTAAACTCAAGCATGACTTGAACTTAGCAATAAGAAAAGCTTCAGAATAGCAGGATGGATCACCATCAACTTCCTATGCGACTGAAAGAGCATAAGCAACCATATTGGTTTCATCGTCACTAGCGTACCTAGCAGGTTTCTTGATTGTCCTCCTAGGCCGATCCATAGCAATGGAATACTCTCGTTGTGGCTCGACGAGAGGTGTTGTGCTAGTAGATGCATCATCTTTAGTATTACCGTCAGCAGTAGTAACACTATCAATAGGCCTGAACTCAAACTCCACCTTTTCACCAGTACTCTGCGTCTCACCTGTACTGGGAACTTTTCCAGAAGAAAGTAGTGCATTTTCGTCAAAAGTGATATCTCGACTCAAAATGATTTTCCGAGAATCAGGAGACCATAGACGATACCCTTTTGACTCAGAGGCATAACCAAGGAAAATGCATTTGACAGCTCTCGGGTTTAATTTACCCGTACTGGAATGAGCATAAGCAGAACATCCAAAAACTCTTAAGATAGAGTAGTCAACAGGATTACCTGACCAAACTTCCTCTGGAATTTTGAAATCAAGGGATGAATGTGGAGATCTATTTACCAAATAGCAAGCAGTAGAAACAGCCTCGGCCCAAAAATCACGCTGTTTCCATAACCCAGCATTAGAGAGCATACAACGAGCTCTTTCCAATAGAGTCCTGTTCAAACGTTCGGCAACACCATTCTGCTGGGGTTTACCAGACAAGGTCTTGTGCCTGGCGATTCCATTTGCCGCATAAAAGTCATTGAAATCTGACTCACAGAACTCCAAGCCATTGTCTGTCCTGAGCTTCTTGACTTTTTTACCTGTCTGAGTCTCAACAAGTATTTTCCACTTCTTGAATATAGAAAATGCCTGATTTTTATGTTTCAGGAAATAGACCCAGACTTTACGAGAAAAGTCATCAATAATAGACATAAAATATCTACAACCTCCCATAGACTGGAATTTAGTTGGTCCCCATAAATCGGAATGTATGTATTCCAATACATCTTTGGTACGGTGTGTAGCAGTAGAGAAACTAACCCTCTTTTGTTTCCCAAAAACACAATGCTCACAAAATTGTAATTTACCCGTACCTGAATCACCAAGGAGACCTTTCTTGCTCAGGAGATGCATGCCTTTCTCACTCATATGCCCCAGACGCATATGCCATAGTTGAGTGAGATCCGCATCAGACATCGATGAGGATACCGCTACTGAACCTGTCACAGTACTGCCATGCAAGACGTACAGGCTTCCGAAACGAGAAGCTTTCATGAGAACAATAGAGCCTTTGATGACCTTTAGAACTCCACCTTCAGCTGTGTACTTGCACCCCAGACTTTCCAAGGTACCCAAGGATATCAAATTGCGTTTCAAATCAGGAATATACCGAACATTGGTAAGAGTCCTGATAACGTTATCATGAGTTTTAATCTGCACACTTCCAATTCCACTAACCTTGCATTGGGTATTATTACCCATCAAGACAACTCCACCATCAACCGGTTCCAGAGATACGAACCAGTCTTTGTGAGGACACATGTGGAATGTACAACCAGAGTCCAGAATCCACTCGGTTTCACTCCGTTTCTCACCGGAGCTAACAGATAACAACACATCACCATCTGAATCACTTTCAACAACACTAGCTTCAGCGGACTTCTTTTCTCTCTCTTGCTTGTTTTTCAACTTGAAGCATTCAGTCACATCATGACCATGCTTCTTGCAGTACTTACAGGATTTGTTGGACTTGGATCTAGATTTTTTATTGCTACTCTCTGTTTCAAGTGAATGACCCCTTATAGTCAAGCCTTCACCTTTGTCCTCAGACTTAATTTCAAAGTCAAACTTTTCTTTGGACAATAGGTTTGACTTAACATTGTCGAAAGTAAGGGTATCACTACTATTACCATACAGCATAATTTCTTTGAAATGCTTGTATGATTTAGGGAGAGAGACAAGCAATAAAACAGCACGATCCTCATCGCCAATTATGACATCAATATTTTCCAAGTTCAATAAAATAGAATTGAATTCATCTAAGTGAGACTTAATAGAAGTACCTTCCGTCATACGGATTGTGTACAGACGCTCCTTCAGGCGTAGCGTATTCGCCAGAGTTTTGGCCATGTAAAGCGCATCCAGCTTGGACCATAAATCTGATGCAGTCGTCTCACTTACTACCTCACGTAGAACTTCTTTAGACAAGCACAAAAGAATGGTTGAACGTGCCTTGTCATCCAAATCTTCCCAATTTTCATCTGTCATTGTAGCCGGTTTCTTCTTCTTCCCAGCTAGCGCTTTCTTCAAACCGTTCTGGGTTAGAACGGCTTCCATCTGAACCTTCCAGATAGAAAAGCTAATTTTCCCGTCGAACTTCTCGATATCGAACTTTGTAACAGTCGACATCTTTGAAAATAATTCTCAAATAAACCGCTCTGATACCACTTGTTAGGAATATAGCGGAATAATGCGGAAGCGAAGAATCGAAAATTGAGAATTATAGAAATTAAATAATAGGAAAATATATAAATGACATCAATAATAAGTAACAATGGAAAATATAAAATATATCATATATATATATATATATATATATATATATATATATATATATATATATATATATATATATATATATTAATCTCTCAAAAGAGAATATAAAGGAATATATATATGTATATATATAAATCTACGTGAGGGAGAAAGAAAGTATGTAAGAGAATGAATTCACAATTGATATTGATGCCTTATTACAAACAAAGCAAAAGCTATTTATAGCCTAAGAAAAGAGAGAAAAACGGCATATGTATTGAGGACGTGTGGAGAGGATTGAGGACAAGCGCATGCAGATTGTGCAACATGGAGAGTGGACATAAATGTGTGGTCTTGAATATTTCCAAAGAATTTGAGCCACAATTCTAACAAATCATTTATGAAATTTTGTACCTTAAGCGTATAGATTCTATACCTGAAATAAAGTAAATATAACATGCATTTTTGTGTCTTGTGCTATGCGTTTTTGTATTTTGTGTTATGCGTTTTTGTCTTATGTTATGCAATTCTGTGCCTTAAGAATATTGATTCTGTACATGAGCTAGATAAATATAAAACATGTGTATGTGTCTTATGGTATGCGTTTCTATGTCTCTTGTACCTGAAATAGATTAGTAGTTGTGTAGCATACACATATTGTGTGTCTTAATTATTTTACGAATTTATGTCTTGTATTATAAAATTATGTTCCTATAAGACATAAATTATCTACATAAATCAGATTTGAGAATAAATAAATATATAACATGTGTATATAAGTTGCGTGTCTCGTGTTATGAAATTCTATACTTAAGAGTATTGATTTTCTGTACCTAGAATAAATTAAAATTTGTGTTGAAACATTAGAAACGGGAAACTATAGAACCCGTTAAAGTTTAAATATCAAAACAACGTCGTTTGTATCCAGAGTCCACATCCACAATATAAATTGCCCACGATTTACATCTGAGGCTTTAGGGCCGAGGTTCTGAGGGAAAGTGGTCCTTGACTATAGTGAATTTTCTTAATTTTGTCCTAAACGACTTTGGTGACCTAATATAGTCTCAGACTTTTTTTTGTTTTTGCTCAATTTAGTCCTACGTTTGTTATTTCGTCAAATTAGTGTTAAATAAACAGACAATTAAATAATCTCAATATTGACCTCTCATTAGTCTCAGTCCTGCGAAGTGCGAAATCCCCATTTCTTTAACGAATTACTCTTAGACTTGCGAATCAAATTTTATATTCCTAGGTTTGAGAGTAATTCGTAAAAGAAAGAGAGTTTTCGCACTTCACAGGTCTAGGAGTAAAGAGATTGCCAATATTGAAATTAGTGAATTGTGTTTCTATTTAACATCAAATGGACGGAGTAACAAACGAATGATTAAATTGAGTAAAAACACAAAAGTTTAAGACTATATTAGGTCACCAAAATCGTTTAGGACGAAATTGAAAAAAAATCCATTATTGTCAATGACCATTTTAAGTATTAACTCAAAACATAAATAAATTGAAGAAGTAAAATTGTTGTGTGAGTTAGAATAATTTATAGTTGAAGAACAGAAAAATGCAAAATTGGAGTGATTTGAAATGGTTTATATATGCAGATTGATAGCTTCGTGAAGGTATTCCCTGGAGTAAAACATGGATGGACATTGCGATACGACGACAAGGATGAAGAAGCTATCAAAGTTGCAGAAGAGGCTCACTCGGATATGCTCAACTGGCTAACCAACTACATCAAGTGACAAACTTACAATCGTTATATCATGGATTATGATCCATTTTACAAGGTAGATCACTAAAATAAAGTTTATTTTTAGTATATTAAATATTTAAGGATTTGATAAGGTTGAGATAGATGTCATGTAATCGAAAAATTATTATAGAGTATGTCATATGTAGAACACCGGGCTTGGCCCTCCATTAAATATAAAAAAATTCAAGGATTTGACTCGTAATGAATTAATGATGAGTCTCAACTTTAGTTATCACTCTAGTATTTGTCCCGTGCGATGCACGGAAAATATGTTATAAAAATATACCCTATATGAGGTTTATTCATATATAAAATTTTTGTTATTTAATAATTATTATGTGTGAATTCCTATGATAAAATTATGAACATAAATATATTTACAATTAAAATAATATTTAAGGTGGGTGATTACTACAAATCTTAAACTATATTAAAAATTTAGTACATAGTATTTAATATTACAAATTTTTAAGAACTTAGTAAACTACAATAGTAATTGAATTACAATTTTAGAGTCACCACGGATCAAAATTTTTAGACTTTTGAGATTTCTAACTCTAGATGTAGCAACATACAATTGACCTTTAAAGACCAAAATCACAATCTTAGTTCGAACATTGATTTTTTCTTCCAAATATTATCGAATTAAGTGTGTAATCAATAAAAGATGAGAACTAATAATTCGAGAATATAATCTTAATGTTACTAAGCCACTTCACGTCAATTAAGTTGGAGAGTGTTGTTGGATAGTATCCGATGAATCCACGAATAACGCATCTTTGTCTCCGTAGTTCTCAATATGCACATCAACAATCTTAAATATTAGGCCGCCTAGCTATGCCATATATTAATTTCAAACTTATGAACTTTGGGGTTGCATGCAATAAAAAGTATATTTTAAATATACTAAGGGTACATTATATATGTATGTAAGGTACTTTCAATATAAAAATAATGTATTTTTAATATATTAAAAATGTATTTAATATTCATGATCCATACAATTATGTGGACCATCGTTCCTCACAATAATTTGCCAGTAGAAATTGAAATATAAATAAATATAATAAATAAATAAATATAAATATATATATATATATATATATATATATATATATATATATATATATATATATATATATTAGATAGAAACTGTCCGTGTAAATTATTATCATTATAATTATTATTGCAATTATTATTATTATTATTATTATTATTATTATTATTGTTATTATAATTAACAATATTATTATGGTTTTATGAAAATTAAATATTGATTATCAACATTTAATTTTCACAATAACAATATTATTATGGTCTTGTGAAAATTAAATATTAATTATCACCATTTAATTTTCATAAGACCATATGGCTTAATTATATATAGGATAGGATAGGATAGGATAAGATTTCTTTTTGTTCCAAATGATGAAATACTCTTATTATCACAAAATGAATATACATGTTACAAATAGAAGGAGCCCAAATAAAAATGTGGTTTAAAATACCATATATAGTTGCTTGTAACTTTTTCATAGAATTGTAAGAAACCATGGACCATGATAAGGCACGGAGTTAGAAAATTATTTAAGTAGGGACGAAGTTTAAATGATGTTAGAAATGTCAATTACAAAATATTAAATAATTATAATAAGGTTTAAATACAAAATACATTATAAATTACAATAGAATATTTTTGATATATTACACGATAATTAGAGTCAAAATCAAAAATATACTTGAGTGAGGTGAAAATGTGAAAATATTTATGACAAAATATGAATCATAATCAATTAGATAAAATAATTTGAATAACAATATATTCATAAATACTTTTTAATTTTTTATTTTTTTTAGTTAGATCAACTTTAAGTTTTTTTAAAAAAAAAATTAATTCGAATACAATGAAGTGTAATATAAATTTGTATACTACATTAATTAAATGATTCATAAAAAGTAGACTAAAAATAACATTTAATTGCTAATTAAATGATTCGTAAAAGTAGACTAAAAATATTTAATTTATCTTGAGAAAGAATGAAAGAGATAAAATAAATAAGTGAAGATAAAAAAAAAAAAAAAAAAAAAAAGTGTTGTTAATAACATTTGAACTTGTAACCATACACTTTTTAACTTCAAATTTAAAATTCAACCAACTAAGCTACTCAAACTATTAATAATTTAAACATAAAATTTTATATAATATTTAATTCTATATATGCATATATACATACATATATATAAATGGGTGGGGTGGGGGAAGTGGGGGCAGCTGCCCCCACTGCCCCTATACTAGCTCCATCCTTGAGTCCATGATCTATATTGGATTGTAGATAGTAATCTAAAAATTATGTTTACAGTTGAAATATTATGTACCTGCAGTTAACCGTTTATGTGCATGCAGTTAACGTATATATTATGTACATGTCGTTAATAGTTTGTGTCTGTAGTTATAATTTTATGTGTTTGTAGTTAACATGTTACATGTTTTCAATTTATTTACACGCACATAAATGGTTACTACAATTACAGAATATTAGGACTAGTATTAGGACTCTATATATTTGAGTCACATTATGACTCCCTATCCTAATTTCCCTATGATTCATACTTCCTATCCTAGTCTCTCTATGACTCCTCCTGCATATAGTTATTAGATAGTTCATTCAATATAGTTTTATCGAGTTCTCATTTGTTATCAGTTAGCTAGGGTTCATAATAATTATTATTATCGTCATTAAAATGAATTCTGTACATTATGAAGTCAAATTATATGTATTAGATCAGGATCTACAGTGCATTGTGGACCTTGGTCCACGATATAAATTGCCAGCTTCTAAGGAGCGGCATTGTATTATACTATTCTTAGTTGTGTTCCCAGGAAAAGGCAATTTATATCATGGACTAGTGTCTACATAGCATTATGGATCAGATTTTATATAGCATTATGAATCCTAGATCGAAACGACGAGATACAAAATTCATACTTGTAAAATACATTTTCTCTATTTTTTGAATACATGTTAGCAATGAATGAAACATTACCTATAGAATAACTATATTATTACCTTAGTGAAGCTTTAAGCTTGCAACAATGATGTAAAAAAAAAAAAAAAAAAATAACTGCTCTGAAACTTAAAGATGTAACAATGTGCAACAATTTTTTTTTTTTTTGTTTTTTTTTGAGCATGATACATCGTAAAATTTGGGCCTTAAGCCTTAGCCCACCCAAAACGCGGTCAAAATCAACACTTAAATGCTTCTAAACTTCCACCCACTCGATCCAATTAATGATTCACAATATCTTTTTACTTTCTTCATTTGTGTTACTTCATATTTCCTTTTGTCTATGGACAATATTATTTGCATTAAACCTGGGATGACAAGGGCAAATTTTACTATGTACTGCGGGCTGTGGACGATAGTCACAAAACTGTGTCATTTCTTTTCTTTTAATTAAAAGAAATAGCATTCGTTTCGTTTAATGACTTCTGTTTGTATGACGTATTCAATTTCATTTTATATATATTGTAGCTTTATTCCGTCACAACTAAAGTATCTTTGTTTCAACTATAGTTTCATTTGACATTATACACGTACTCAATATGTAAAATCTGTTATTGAATTTCATTTTATACACACTGAAGTCTTATTACAACACCACTAAAATATAATTCTAATTTAACTACGGTTTCATCGGACAATATACACTCAAATATGTGAAATTGTTATTCAGTTTCATTTTATATATATTGTAATTTCATTACAACCGAACTAAAGTATTATTTTGATATAACTACAATTTCATTTGACAATATACACTCAATATGTGAGACATGTTATCCAGTTTCATTTTATACATATCGTAGTTTCATTTCAACACAACTAAAGTATCAATTCAACTATGGTTTCTTTGATAATATACACTCAATATGTGAGACATGTTATTCTATTTTCATTTTATACATACTGTAGTTTCATTTCAGCACAACTAAAGTATCATTTCAATTCAACTACAGTTTCATTTAATAATATATACTTAATATGTGAAACATATTATCCAGTCTCATTTTAGATATATTGTAGTTTCATTTTATTTTGAGCATATCACAAATACATGATTTTTGTTAAATATAACGGTCGTCGTTTCTTTAAGTAAAGAAACGGTGCCATTTTTCGGACATGGTCCACCGTATAACAATTGGGGTGACAAGTAGATGAAGCATAATTTTTGTACTTAAGATTACGAGTTTGATTCTTTTCAGTATTGTCCTATTGTTTGAATCTTTCACAAAGAGTATTTCTGGTGCAGTTTTTCTTTCTTGTGTGATTTGTGAGATTATATAAAAGCGGGATTTACTCAGTGCACACCATTAGTAATGGTTGCAGGTTTCACATGTCAAAAAAAATACAATTTGCAACAATTGTTTTACTTCAAATTTTAAGGTTAACTAATTTACTTGATAATTAGTTGATGTGTACCATAAATCATATTATTTTATATGAATAATATTTCCTAGGCAAAAACTTGTGTGAAACAGCCCCACAGATTCTTGCTTATAAGATGGGTTGGGTTGTAGATAATTGTATGTGTAAGTATTACAAATTTCAATTATAAGTATTACAATACTTATCATTGGTAACAATTAATTTTATCCTAAATATAGTATCACAATTTTTACATATAAGTATTAAAATATATCTATAATAAGTAACGATTTATTTTTAATTCAAATTGGTATTTAATTTTCTACAATAAGCATTACAATTTATTTTATAAGTAATATTTCACATATAAGTATTACAATATTACATTAGAATTTCACTTTATAAATATCACAATTTCAGTTATAAAACTTACAATATTTATCATTAATAAATAATAACAATCATTTTACCCTAAATAGTGTCACAATTTTTCACATATAAATATTAAAATATTTATTATAAATAACCATTTATTTAGTTCAAATTGGTATTAAATTTTTTGTAATAAGTATTATAATTTCTATTATAAGTAGCAAACAACCATTCTAAATTCAGCTCTCACTAGGGGCGAAGGGACATATGACTTGCAGGTAACAATTT